TGCTTCCCCCTGCAGCCCAACCCAGCTCTCCAGATGCCAAAGCTACTCTGCTAGGCCCCACAGAAATATACCTGGACTGTCCTTATTATGGCTACTGTTCCTTACCCACCTCACTTTGCTATTATATAAGTTCCACTAGCACAGAGGCATTGGAGTAAGATGGATGTGCAAGCAATGTATCCTGAGTGTATGAATGAAGGAACCAATGGGTGCTCAACCTCCCAGGGTCTACCATTACTGGGAAAAAAACAGGCAGATACAGTCTACCAGAAAAGCAGGCACTGTGGAGAAAAGCAAAACTTAGCATCAGAGCCAGGAGAAAGGAAGGTTGTTATTTTATGAGGTAGCCACCAAAGAAAAAGAAAAAGATTAACAATCACAAACACAGCAAATAGGGCTGGAAAGTTGGCTCAGAGGTTAAGAGCACTGACTGCTCTTGAGAGGACCCGGGTTCAATTCCCAGCACCCACATAGAGGCTAACAACCTCCCTAACTCCAGTTCCACGGAATCTGACATCCTTTCCTGATCTCCATAGGCATTGCAAGACATGGGTGCACTCACACACATGCAGGCAATACACTCATATACATAAAATAAAAATAATAAATAAAATATTTTGGATAAAAAAACGAAAACAAGCTGGGCATGGTGGCGCACGCCTTTAATCCCAGCACTTGGGAGGCAGAGGCAGGTGGATCTTTGTGAGTTCGAGGCCAGCCTTGTCTACATAGTGAGTTCCAGGACAGCTGGGGCTACAAGGAGACCCTGTCTCAACAAGACAAAAAAAAAAAAAAAAGCCAAAAACAAACACAGCAACTACCAGTTACACGGTGCCCACTGTGTGCCAGATCTGACAGGACATCTGCTAACCACCTTACAGCTTTAACGAAGTGTGCCAGGCCCATTCTCTTTCTCTCTCTCTCTCTCTCTCTCTCTCTCTCTCTCTCTCTCTTGTCTCTCTCTCTCTCTCTCTTCTTTCTCCATCCCTTCCTCCTTTCTTTCCTCTCTCAGGTTCACTCTGTCCCCTTGTGTGGGCACAGTGAGAACGGAAGCTACGGGAGGACAAACATTCTTGTCTCTTTGCTCTTGCCTGATCTCTAACAGCAAGACCAGTGCCTGGCGCCCAGCAAATGCTCGGTAAATGCATGAGTCACTCAACACATGCTGAACAGAGTAGCAAACATTAGGGCTGATTCACCAGGAAAATAGAGCCCTGAAGAATAATACACAGTGGCAAAGGCTTTTATGTTTTACTCGAGGGCTTACTTCTGTGCTGAGTCTGGGCACCATCCCTTAGAAGAATCACCATCCTCCCTGTTCTGGAGACACCATGTTCAGCGTCTGACCTGTGAAGGTTCGCCCTCCAATCACTCCAATCCCTGTGTTTCCAGAAACTGACTTGTTTTCCACTCATTTTAATTTCTGTCTCCGAGGACTGAGCGAGGAGTGAGTGATGAATGAATGAACAATTGATTGACTGATTGATTGATTGATTGATTGATTGATTGACTGACTGATTGATTGACTGACTGATTGAAAGAGAATCTCACTATGTAGCCCTGGCTAGCCTGAAACTCACTATATAGAGCAGGGTAGCCTTGAACTCACAGAACTCTCCCTGCCTCTGTCTGCCTGCCCTCGAGTGTGGCACTAAAGACCTGAACCACCACTATTTCAGACAAGATTTCTTTCTGATACTTATAAAGAAACTGTAGTGAAGTCATCACCATCTCCTGTTTTATGTGTATAACCAAAATGTTACTTTTAGGTGTTAAAATGTATCCAGAGAGTCAGGAAGTCATAAAACCCCATTGCTGGGACAGCAACATTTGCTAGCTTTTACTGAGGCTTACTGTGATCCCAGGCCTTCTGCCAAGGCCTCTGCTCCTCACTTCCTCACCACAGCTACCCACCAGCCAGCTGGTCCTTCATTACCCCATTGTACAAACAAGAAAACTGAAGTGACAGGTCTCCAAGACATTCCCCCTGCCTCTGGCAGCTGTCTGTCTTCTCCTTTTTAAAGTCCTTTCCCTGCAGGCAAATAAGGCCTCACTTCCCACCATGTCAAGTTGTCTTACACCTAAAAAGCAGTAACAGTAGAGGCAGGAGCTGCCCCTTGCCTTGAAGAAAAAGCAATTGAGGGCTCCCTGATTCCAGAAAACTCCAGACACTCCATTCACAAGAAGTTTAAGGTCAATGATGAAAATGAGGCCGGTAGATGAATGAGCACCCCAGTCCCTCCCCACCAACCCAAACAAGAGGAAATGGCTGGGGATGTAGCTCAGGAGTCCAGGACTTGCCTGGCATATGCAGAGCTCTGGGTTCAAACAAACCAAAGGAATCCAACAAACAAAAAGAGACTTCTAAAATGAAAAAAAGGATGAGCCAGCCATGTGTGGTAGAAGACACTGGAAATTCTAGCACTCTAGAGCCAGAGGCACTGGGGTTGAGAGAGAGTTCAAGGCCAGTATGAGCTACAGAAGACTGTCTCAAAACCAAAAGAGAAAAAGAAAAGAAAAAAAAAAAAAATTACGGCCACAGGTTTAGAGTGTAGCCCTGAGGAGAGTGCTTGGCCTGATACTCTGGATTGGTTCTACAGCACAGAAAGAAATTTAAAAAAAGGGAGAGAGAGAAGAGAAGGCAAGAGAGAGAGAGAGAGAGAGAGAGAGAGAGAGAGAGAGAGAGAGAAAGGCTAGAGGAAAAGAACTCACAGTCTCAAGAGCTCCTGCCCTATAGCTGGGACTATTACATCACACCAGCAAGCCTGCCTATTTTTCTTCATGACAGGATATGGGGAAGACTATCACAATCTTTGTACTGCTAAGGGACTCTGTAAGGCTTAAAACACTCGCAGCATATAGGCTAATACCCAGTGCTCTTTTGCAATCATGGCAAAAGAGCACTCGTTCCCATCTGCTGTAAAGTCAATAGTAATTAAATTCTGCATACAGTTCTAGCATAGTTTTGGTCACAAAGCCAAGCAGGATGCCTGGACATGACCATTTGCAAATGATCATAGGTCCTGCCTGAATCTTCCTCCCTCTCCCCACACAACACTCCAACTGAATCCCACTTCTAAGACCCCTTCCAGAATCATAGCCCAGAACCTTCCCAGCACCAAATCTTTGTCTTGTTTCAGCCTGCTCTATAGTGGCAGTGAAGACCAGCAGCTGAGCAAAGGACCACCACTTTATCTGAGTCAGGTGGGAAGGTGGGCAAACTCAGGCCTTCTGCTTAAGGCCAAGGATAATCCTTTGCTCATTCTATTTTTCAGGATCCTCTAACTTCTGAAAATGAGCCAGGGGGTCAAAATGCCCTGGTCTAAATTCTATCAGCCTTGCTGAAGCCTAGTTTGATTTGATGGGATATTTTTAATCTCTGACCTATTCCTATTCTAAAAACTGATGATGATAATAATAATAATCCTATCTTACAGGACTACTGAAATATTAAATGAAATAATACATTTAAAGCAGTTAGAACCAGTTGAAGTTGCAAGTTATCACATACCTGTGACCCCAATATTTGGGAGGCTGAGGCAGAAAGAGCACAAGTTTAAAACCAGGCTAGGCTACAACATACACAGGAGAGAGAGAGAGAGAGAGAGAGAGAGAGAGGAGAGAGAGGCCTGACCCATAAAAATAACTCCATAATTGCTGGACATTTAAGTGCCTTGTGGAGTTGGGGGGACATAAATGTGAAAGACAGTTGACACGCTAAAGAAGTTCAAAGTCACTCCTATACCATCTCGGATCTTCTCAGTTACTATGATTACACCGCCGTTCCTTAGAGTACTTGGTGCTAGAAGAACAAAGGACCAGCACATCTCCTGCCAATGAAGTCACTTTGCTCACAGCCACACTGCCCTGAACGCACCCATCTCATCTGATCTCTGAAATACACAGAGTCAGGCCTGGGTAGTATTCTGATGGCAGAACAAAGGATTCATTTGCAGCCTTCTGTGAGACATGGAACTTCTGAGAATTTCTAGCAAGATGCAGGCATGACTGTCAGCAGGACTCAGCAAAGGCTAATCTGCTCTTATTTTGTTTCTTTTTTGCTCGGTTTTTGTTGCTGTTGTTGTTTGTCTTGGGTTTTGCTTTTGGTTTTGGTTTTTGAGACAAGCGTCACACTGTACCCAGGCTGGCTTTGAACTGACCGTAATCCTCCTGCCTCAACCTCCTGTGTGCCGAGATTATAGGCATGAGCCACCCCAACTGACAGTGGAAAGAGAACAGGAGCGGGCAAGAGAGGGCAGGGCACAAGGCCACATTGTGCCTGGAGGTGAGAGGACAGCTTTCAGGAGTTGATTCTCTTTCTGTCGCCAGTTCCAAGACTCGAACTCAGATCATCAGACTTGCAAGGAAATCACTTTTACTCACTGAGCTGCCTAGATTCATCTTATTTCAGATTGCTGCTCTGCTCCCTTCTTGGGTCTGTGTCCCAAACACAAACAGGAGAGACATAAGGGGAGGTAATTCCTGGTCTTAGTGACCTCAAAAACTGGCATAAAGGAAAAAAGAATGAGCAGGAGGGAGAATGTCATGTCTGAAACCAACTAGAGGAAGAAATACAAAACAAAAAGGCAGAGCACAGAAGGGCCATGTGGCATGTAAAATGGTGAAGCACAGCCATTTGCAGGCCCTCGGCACCTCTCTAAAAAATAGTGACCAGCAAATTCCCAAAGCCTCAGTGTCCCCAGCTAAAGATAGCCTGCCCTTGGTGTGAACAAATTCAGGACCGCTCACACAAAATGGAAGGGAAGGTATCTGTGGTCCCCAAGGTTCCACAGCTGAAATGTCTAAGGACAACCACCCAGCTTGGGCAGGCAGAAGGTCCTAGGCATGGCAAACACAGGCCCCGGAACCCAGCCAGATTGCCCATCTGCTTTACAAGTTGAAAAAGACAAGAATTGAATTCATGGTGATGTTAAGAGCTCACCAGGTTTTCAGAAAAGCCATCACACAAGTCATCAGATAGATCAAAACAGAGAGAACACCTTCTTTCCAGCTCCAAAAAGCTCCAGCCAGAAACAGATTGGGGTGAGTCAGGGGTGACTGTTAAAAAGAAGGGAAAAGAAAACCAATCAGGAAAAGAAAATTGATTTCTTCTATTTTTCAAGAGAAGCTGGATTATGCAAAATTCTACACCCACGGTAGGTAAAGTGACAAGAAACAGTCACCCTTGACCAGGCAAAACAACAGGGCAGTGCCATAACAAGTCTCCCCGGGGAGTCAGTGGGTCCAGCAATGGCGGTCTACAATGTCCGAACCCAGCCTTTCCTTCACTAAACCTGACGAGGAACCACTTGAACCCTTGTGGCAATGCCTAAAACCATGAGGCACATCCTCACCTGCAAGATGTAACTCCCAACACTGGCGATCAGGCCACGAGGTTTCCCAGTCATGGATTCCATTTGTCCTTCTGCTTTCATGAAGGTTTTTCTCCTTGTAAATCTTTCGGAAAGTTCCACTGGGGGTTCCAAGGATCGATGCAAACACTTTTCCGATGGCTAGAGCTTTAGGAGAACTAGCTGTGACCATAGACTGTGGCAACTGAACAAGCCCCAACTTGTCACTGCCTATATGCAAAACAGGCCTGCAACATCCTACCACGCACAGTTCAGCAGGCACAGGGCTGAGTCCTCAGCCCTCCCCACCACACATACACTTCTCCATGGCTTCCTCTAGGCCAGTTGACAACGGCCCCTGAAAACACCAGGGCAGAAAAGCACAGAAACCTCACCGTCTTACTGTCTTGCCCCTACACCTCTCAAGCGATTTCTTTCCTTCTCTCATCTTCTAGAATGGCCTGAAGTCAGGAGCTCAAGAGAGCACACTATTCCAAGCCTGCAAACTAGCAGGAAAATCATGATGTGTCTATTCATGAGCACAGGCAGCTTCGTGGCTGTGCTTCCTGGAAGTCTGCACAGCACGCACACCACAAACATTGGCACAGCAGAAAACATTAGCCAAGGAAGGGCCAATCTAATTAAATCAACAACCCATCCCGTAAGAAAGCACAGTGAGGGTGTGGGGGCACTCAGCAAACACAGAAATATAATAGAAAAGCAGCGAAAGTTTCATAACACTGAGTTATGGAGTTTTGGGAAATCACCTTCACTCTGCCCTGAGGGGTGTTGGGGAGGGAGGGCTGGCCAAGGATGGAGGGAGCATCTCTCAGCTAAGACTTCCAGTTTCGCAAATGAGGCCTCCAAACCACATCAGGGGCCCCAAATCTGCGCTGATTGCGGGGGGGGGGCTGTCTATTTTTAGATGAGGAATCAGACTTTTGATCAAGTGCATAAATCCAATTACCTCTATGCATGGGCCAGTCTGTGTCACCTCTCCCCTCCCCCTTCCCCCCGCCGTTCGCATTCACTGCCAGTCTTGAGTCCTGTGATGAGGAAACTGCAAGGTTAACAGGCACCCATCGGACTGGAAGCCCCTCTCTCCATTCAACCTACTGGCTGTGCATCCTTTCGGCTCGAGAGTTTCCAGAGGATAAAATTGGAACTTACTGCACTGTGGATCCAGCCATATCTCCCAGGTCACCCGGACCGCCAACATTTTCCACGTGGATATCCATACGCGCGGGGCTCTGGGGATACCGGGTCCCATCCTGGCTCGCGGCTCCTCCAGGTCCCAGCCTCCGGAGCCCGCACCGCCAGCGGGCCCATGTGCTCGGCGGCCGCACGCGCTCTGCCCCGCGGAGCGCGGGGCTGGCGGGTGGCCCGTGACGTCACGGCGGCTCGCGCTCCGGGCCGCGGGGGAGGGGGAGAAGCGCACAGCGCCCAGCCCTCCGCTAACATCCCGGGTCCCGGGTCCCGGGTCCTGGGTGCCCGAAGGCTCCGGGCCGGCGGTCCCGCGCGCCTCTCTGCCCGCTGTCCGGAGCAGTGAAGGGCACCGGCAAAAGAGAAGGGCCGCACGCGGAGGCGGGGCAGGCCCGGGCCATCGCGGTTGCCTAGGGCCCGGATGGCTCTGGAGAGAACGTGCTCCGCCTGTCCTGGGCCGGGGGTTCTGGCTGCACTCTCGAGGTCTCACCCAGCCTGCCCACCGGCCCCGCAGTGATGCCTGCTCGCTTCCCGTGGTCCCTCTCCACGCCCGCTCCCCACCCCCACCCCGTCTTTCTCCCCACTTTTCAGACGGGGAAGGAGAGTTTAGTCTTTAGTGAATTAAAAGGAGCGAGAAGTTCAGAGATGAAGTCAGCACTTCCCACAGAAGACCCCTGGATCCGTTCCATCCCGCGATCTGAGAGCATCCTTGGGTACCACCAGGCATCCGCGGGCCTGGCGGGAGGGGCGCACCCCGTTTCGCACCTCCTGGGTGGTCTCCAGCAGTCACCAAGGACGGGGTAGCGAACCTGTGCTGAGAGAGGGTCACCTGACTGTGCAGTATGCTCCACTTAGGGCACCGTTGACCCACACAGGTTATTAAATTAGCCCCTCGAAAGTCCAGCAGCTCCTCCAAAGAAAGAAGGCTGGCCAGGGTGGCACGCGTGTATCTTATTTTCTCTACGTTAAGTCTGGACAGGTGTAAGAATCGACCTCCTTTCAGTTCAGCATTTACTGAGCACTGGCGGGGAGCCAGGTACCCTGCTGGGTACCAGATGGGGGGTGAAAGATGAGCCAGACTCAGACCCTGGAAGGAAACCTGAGTCCGGTGAAAAGCAGGATGCAGGAGTGGGTGATATGATTGTGGGTGGGAAGCCGGCGGACCCTTCTTTGTCCAGTACACTACATCTCATGTCACTCAACCCTCCCAGGAATCTTTGTCCCCCCACCCCAACCCCCCTTTGTCCCATTCAGTTTGAAAGCAGTTCTCGGTTGGAAAAGTTTTTAAAATTATCCTTCCTGTGTGTTTCTGTGTGGATCGTTCATCGTTTGCACGCAGCGTCTTTATGTTTAGGAGATTTTAAGTGCCTGGGAAGATTTCGAGGCTAAGGCTGTCCGCAGCCGTTTACGATAAGAAGCAAAGATAAGATTCCGAAGCTCTAAGTCTATACAGGGTGCAATAGGCGCTGTGAGAATTTAGTTTTCAGAGCTTAGCCCATTTCAAGAGTCACCTGCTGGGACCTTAGAAAGCTGTAACCACAGGCCCTCAGAGGTCCATCTTCCAATGACAAGCTCAGCACCGCTGGTCCTTCGGGCAGCTGTGTGCACTAGAAACTCTAGGGACTGGAGATGCTCTCTCACCCAAGCTCATTCAGCTTTGACCTTGACCCCCTTTGCCCGCCCTGGGTCTGAACTCTGCTGTGCTAATCTTAGATTCCTGTTTTTCCTTTTTAAAGTTCCATTTATAGAAGGTTTCCAGTGTTTCCAGTAAAAGTCCACAGAAGAAAATATTTTTAATAACACTACTATCCAGAATAAACATTTTGATGTATCTGCTTCCACTTTTTGAAGTCACTTTTCAAGATGGAGATGTAATTCAGTTGGTAGAGTGTTCTCAGAGCCAGCAGGAAGCCCTAGCTTTGATCCCCAGCACCACATAAAACAGGTGTGGTGGCACAGAACTGGGATCCCTGTAGAGGCAGGAGGATCAGTTCACAGTTGTGTTTGGCTGCACAAAGTTGGAGGCCTTTCTGGGATACAAGAGACCTTATCTCAAAATAAATAATAAATAAATAAATAAATAAATAAATAAATAAATAAATAAATAAC